ATTCCGCTCTAACTAAATGACGTCTAGTGTTGCTATAGATCGTTGTTCATTGCCATTTGCTGGGCAACTGGTTGTATCGTTCCAATTAAATCGTTACACTACGCTGACAAAATGGCTATGTTATCACGATTGCTAACATAAACCCATATTGTTATACATAGGTGAATTAACACACACACTTTTGAGAACACTTTTGCAAAGACGATGAATATGTGACGCGATCTTTTTGTATAAGGTGTATTTTAAAATTGACTTAAAGTGAAAAGGTTAGCTATTTTTATTAAGTTTCGAGAACACTCGCGCATCTGCCATGAAATATCTTTCAAATCTGTGAGAGAAATGAATATCTTAAAGGTTGACGCAACATTTGCCATATTTTTACGATCTATGTTTGGCGGGAATATTAGATTAAACTCTAATATCGCCAAACACGTGGACAATTATCTCCTCAGTGTACGGGTAACTATGGAAACCAGTGTTCAGCAGAATTGTTTCCCAGGATGTAACCTCCTATTGCATTTCCACGCTAGTTCATCTAGTTGATAACTAGGAGACACAGTATCAAATTACCACTGTATTATTTTGAAAGCTTGTCTTGGAGAAATAATTTACATTGGAGAATGTCTAAATGTCAGAAGTCATCTGCAAATACGAGATCGAGCGGTCTACAGTTTTCATTACTTGATATATGCCAATGTTGTGTGATAATATGGCTTCAACTTTATCGTTTTCAAGATCTTTACAACATTTGACATTTACATTTACACGTCCTTAACCGCAATGGATTGCGATTTCACTAACTTGTTGCTACAAATTTCGTACAATTACCATGAAAAGACAAGTACGGCACTCCGCAAAGATATAATAATAATAATATTGACACACTACCTGTAAAGCTGTTCGCAGAATCTGGTAATTGGACAGTATGAAATTTTAGCGAGAGTTCACAATATCTATTTTTCTACATAGATAACTGAGGCGGAATACAAATCACGAGTAAGTCCAGTCATAAATAATATGCAAAGGGTAATAACTCAAAATATTCTAAACTGAATTTCATCGATAATAAATGTACTATAGACTGGAAGGTTTTAGTGTCTCGCGATATATTTGTCAAATTTGTCTGAGTCATAAAATCAGGTATTTTATTCAACCTTGTTCGCAGCGAGACAATATTTTAATCATTAATATAGTGCTCATATTACCTATATTCGAAATAATCAATCAATTGTATATAGTAAGGTCGTCGCTGATAAGCTACTGGTGGGGGTTTTAAATACACCGAAAAGCGTTCTAGGTTCTGTGCCTAGTGAGATGTTCGCATACAAAGTGTATATGCACGCAAAAACACCACATTTACCTGGCGGGTGGCTTACAGTTAACCACACGAATCGTTTGGCAGTGAATGGTTTTGATAACATCATTTTTTTTTTCGGGTGGGTTCAATGTGGCCGTAAACATTTATTTTATTACCACTTGTACGCAAGCTGACTATGACTACTTTGTCAGCGTGTTTTAGTGTCGAACCATGCGCGCGTGTATGATCCATGGCGTTATACGCACGACACTAGCCGGCAAACCAGTCCGGTTTGGAGTGTAAAAAAAGCTAAAACGGGCAATCAAACAACATAACAAATACTGGTGGGCTCGAACACTATCTCACATATAATGGAAAGCTCATCCAAAATTCCTATGTGTTAAAATTTAGCATGCATTTGCACGAAAACGAGGCACAGTAACGCATAGTGTTACTGTATTTGACAATAATTACAAAGAGTGACGTGTTATAGAAAAGCATTGACAATGCCAATGCATTAACACTGAATAGAATTGCACGGGCTCAGGTGGTAAGAATATTATTTCATAGCGAGTCATGTAATACCTCCTATACACTCGGGTAACAACTATTATGTGATCAATAGTAACATGACGCTAAGGTAAGCACGTTTTATATATGAAGCCGAGTTAATAGAGGTCACTCCAGTATAATTTACATTTGGTTTTCCACTAACCAATTAAGTTAAGTTATAAATAAACGTTTAATTATCGGGTTAAAGCATAAATAATATGTCTGTGAGTCACCCGCTAAAATTGCATGTACTGTATCAATAAATTATCGTAAGGATTCTGTATACATAGTTTTTATCACTGTTTTGTAGATATACAGTTTCGTGGCTGTCTTTATATAAAAAAAAACACAGGCGATATTTTTAAAGCGGGGGAGGCGTCACCGACGCATGCATCAAGTGGCCATAGCGTGTCATTGTTTACAAACAAGTGTCTACCCATGAGCCTTTGCGTTCTTAGCGTGTGCTGTTATCATCGCTTGGGACTCAATTCCCGCGCTTGCACAGGTGACAACACTCTCGCTTTAATAGCCAATGGAAAACAATGTTTATTGTTTAGGACATACGACAAAGCTAGTTATCTGCGGTCTAGATATGCAAATTAATATATACCGCTATATATAGCAATAGAAATATATATTTTATTCGCATTAAATATATGTATATATATATATTTACCAACCTATTCGACAACCTAACAAGACAACCTACTAATAATACCTAAAATACAACAAATAATTAATAAGACTATCTATAAAAAAAATCAGCAATGCAGACTAAATTTACTAAAACTACTAAATATATCTATATTAAAATCCTGTTTTGATACCTCATAAAAAAGACAATGCTCGTGGAAGGAAAGAATTCTTACGAATATTATTTCTAAAAGATGGGGTACGAAAAAGAAAATTATGTCTAAAATTACGCTGTGCATTGGCGTGTATACACTTGCGCAAAAAACCAAGATCTGCAACCCTTCTACGTGTGAATAATGGCGGTAATTTAAATAACTTACATAATTTCAAAGAAGAGTACTGTCAATTACATCTGTAACATAAGAAATGATAAAAAATGTAATATATGCATCGATAGCAGCGCGTGTTTTGTCCGCGTACTTTTGCATTCATCAAACATAAATGGGGCAGTTATCAAATGATTCACCATCGTTCTGGGTAGTATTATTTATTGTCGTATTCAACGAGGTTTGTTGTCTCTCTTTCAATTTGGATATCGATTTTGTTTAATACTTTCGAATATCTGGTCTATTTCCTTCCCTGAATTACAAATAATATATTTGGAATAGCTTATATCGGGAATCATCGAAGCCTCGTTCTGCGACTTTCTTGAGTTAACCTTACATTTTTCTGGGATGAGACTATAAAATCTATAGATTTTATTGGGTCCATTAGATCCATTTGTTCGAATTGTGGCTCATAAACTTTACCTGCAACAAAATTGACTTGCAGAACGATAATCTCAATACCTGAACTAATGCAAAGTACATTTTGCATCAACTGCCGCATCGGTGCCGTGGTGCCGTTATTCGTTGATGAACAACGTAATTGACATAGGTCCTTTCAATTTGGTTTCGAAGTGTACTCCACTTCCATATCGTAGTTACTTATGAGTGAAAGATTACAGCATACTGCATTGTGGGTAACGACTTGCACCGTAATACTCCTATAAATTCATATAAATTACAATCATGTATGTATCTATAAGTGGTCATTATTCAATTATATAACAAATTATAACAGTTCTTTTAAACATACATATATTCATAATTTTAAAGACAATAATAGTTTAAATGAATTTATTATATAATTAACAAGCGATAACAGCTATCAGTAACATCGCTATGCGCAAGAGATCAAACGTAGAAAGCCAGTGGCAAGTAAATGACTTCATTAACAACGAAAGCAAACATTCTTCTATTTCTGTCAATACGAAGATACTGTAATTTATTTTCGCTTTGTGTATTTAAAGAGGCCCGTGTACAGTCATACGGGCAATGTAAATTAAGACAGGGATATATCATGTGGATGAAAGCCGTGCGCTAACTAGACTTCTTAAACAACTAAGCACGTCTTACAAGCACTCACTGGAGATTTGCATTAATTATAAAAATCCGAAGAAAATGTCATAGTACTCCAATGAGGAAATTGGGTCAATAAATGCAGGTATATCACAATTGGCCTCGTGTAATTGTATATGAAGTATAATTATATTAAATATAATTATTGCCATACAATTACAATTATTCTGTAAATGTATTTTGAGCAGAGATAATTCAGCGACGGGGATGGGGAAATTGTGCAAATTACTGTTTTCCACTTGCAGTAACGTTTAAATATTGTTTTCTGTCGTTTTCTATGTAGATGGGTAGCTTATTTTTTTCAAATCAACCGTTCCTAGAGTTACTGCCGATCAACTTTTTATTATTAATAAACCGGTTAAAAGAAAGATTGCATTTATAGCTTTATGTTTTGGAGCTACCTATGTCGGCACGCGTTCTAAAAATATTATGTAGTCATGCGTTGACAGGATAATTATTTAAATACACTGGTTTGCTTTGCGCACTACCGCAGGTAATTTTTTTCTATAACCAAAAGTAACCTATGCTGACCTTGAGTACTTCTGATATTAAAAATATCTTTCATTTAATTTCATGATAAAGATTTTTTTCGGGCACAACTATCTTCAATCGTTTTTTTAATGCAGTTACTCATTTAATGCTGTCACACTGCATATAAATAGAACGAGCAATTTCATTCAATCCATAGAAGGTGTTTTTTCAATGCTGTAGCAGACGACATTCTCATGATTATTTTTTTTAATTTAAAAAAAAAAACGTTTTTGGATTTCGATTAAGCCTACTTAACACGCAAATGCAATACAATAGGCATTGTAACATATTATTATCTCCGTATGTTGGGTTCATTTTTTTCCAAAACCGCTCAGTTATTCAGCAAGCAATTTCACCTCATTCATTCATTCATTCATTCACTCACTCACTCACTCACTCACTCGAAATAACGTGCGTAATATTATTTCTCATACTATCTTAATTACACTAAAATATATAAAACATTTATCCAATTACTGAATGCAGACAAATATTTTGGCGGGAAACACGGTAATAAACAAACATACCTGTAGGCTGCTGTACGTGTCGTTCGGACTGGCAAGATTACTTGCTGATGTACTGGCTGATGTGGAAGTCGAATGCCCTGGTGACAAAAGATTTCCTTCAGACTCGGTTTCTGAGTAATTACACTCAGCACGGGCGCCTTTAAGTGTAAAGCTCATGGATTCCGGTGATATTTGGTGAGTCGCTTTACCGCTTCGCGTGGAACCCATCGACTTGGTGACATTTGGCCCCTCGTAAGTAGTGTTCGGGAACGTCCTGCTTTTCGGCGGCGGAGCTAGACACGAAGAGAAAAACATTTTACAGCGGGAAATATTCGAATGTGCACAATATACGTCAGTAAAGTTGCCACAGATCAATAATTCAGCTCAGTTTCCATGTAGAGTGGAATCAGTGCGTACCGACGAGAACTGATCGTACGACGAACCGCCATTAATATGCTAATGAGATGTAAGGTCAAATTACTACGTCTTAAACTAATACGCGTGAGGTAGTAGTACATTACAGTTCTTCGAAAAATGACAGGCATGCTTAATCCAACAATGTAGCGCATGCAATTCATTGAGAGTCAGCGTCACCCTGTAAAGACATGCTTAAATGAAACGGCAACAATTATGGAGTCATTTTCCTTATGTTGAACAACACGTCATTCCTGCCTCATTTTGATTTCTATACATTTACATGCAAATGAATCCCATCATAATACCCCAAGGCGAGGGGGGTGAATGAAAAAAAACCTCTCAATAAATACGCTCACTTGAATAAATTAGCATAAATTGTTGGCGATGTTCACCCGTGCATAAGAACGGCACTAATCAGTATAGTTCGATTACAGCGATAAGAATCTCGGCAGCGACACGTGACAGTGACAGAATAACACGCATTCAGTAATATCTCATCACGTTTGAGCGAATAAATGCCACGTACGTGTAAGAAATGATAGTAGGCGTGACCCGATTTTCAAAGGTCAGCGTCATTGAAGGAGGGTATTTTGATCGCCATTTTGAGGTATAGTACTGTCGGTACTATAGCAGGGTGTTGAGAAACTGGTGTGCCCATGGTAACACAGAAAACACAATGTTTGATAACGACAAACGCACACTTAATCGATTTTTTGGTAATGAAATGCGAGGTTTAATGTATTACTTCGTTTTATTTTTATTAACCAGGTAAACTCGTTCTTGCACGTCAATATTAACACGAAAAGCACCACCGTGTATTGTGCGAATAGAATGAGACACAGGTTCGAAGAGGCCACTTATATTGAAACATAAATTTTACAATGAAGATGGCGTTTGACTATACGCATAATAAATATTTTTAGTTATCTCTAATATTACATTTTATGAAACTTGTTGTCGTTGTTCAATATCTGTGAGCCTATTCTAGTTTTACTTGAGAATGCGTGTTTTGCATTTTTTCCACTCAAAATATACATACGCAAACCAAACAATAGTTTCAGACTTTCTGTTTGTTTTTTATCAACGGTTTGGCAAACTAGAGAAAACCGTGCCTATTTATACTGTGTGGCTTTGTTTATTTGCAATTAGTGTTCAAATTGGTGTGTTCAACATTTATGAAAAAATACCACAAGTTTTTAATCATGTTAGTATTACTTCTGTTCCTCCCCAACTCTGATGTGCTATGATATAGTTGTGATATATCGAAGCATTTATTAGAGAATTAGATTAATTGGTTACCTGTTCACCTGCAAAACCTGTATTCGTGAAGCAAACATACTAGCAGTTCCAAAATAAAAATAAAGTAAATAAGGAATTTGCATAAAAGATATTTCGGAACTAGCCCATATATATCCTAATATCGTGGTGAAAATCTTTATTTGTTTACAGTGGCTGCTTGAGAAAACTTTGAACAATTGCCGCGTTAATGTAATGAGTGAAAATCCAGCTAGCTCAATGAGCGTTTCGAGGAAAAAAATGAATCAAATTTTCAGCATTTAACTAAAAGCACCAGCATGCCTACTCTAGCTCAACTTGTTGTCATTATTTCTTTTTACATTGTTTGCTTTTCTAAAAGTAATTCCTCTTTGATACCATTGTTGAGCTAATACATGGCTGTGAAAAATGCCCGAAACAAAAATGACTGAATATCGCCAACGAATCCGTGTCTTATCCTTAGCTTTATTTTATTTGTATTCCCACAAATATTACATACTCTTATGAATTCAATTATTATCAGCGCGCCCTCAACTACTAAAATCGTGTTTACTTTCTGATGTTGGTCAGGTACGATTGTTTTTATGAGGAGTTGACACCTATACCCGGCCTTCCGATAACCCGTTTTCTCTGATCACAAAGTGAACACTCTTGGGGCTCATCCAAACGCAGAATTTATTTAATAAATATAGCATAATTTGGTGCCAACTCTTACTGAATCATCACCTCTGAGAGACGAATATACCGCGAGATTTGGACCAGCTTTAGTATACCTGACAGAGTGCGTATACAGAGTAAACTAGTCAAAATCCGACCGGTATACTCGCCTCTGTGAAGAGAAGGTTATTCTTATGATACTATACGAACCTAATATAAAAATTAATTCTGATACACAATATTTCATATCAAGGCTAAATGAAATATTTCCTTGAACTAGCATACATCGATTATAGATACATCAAGCGGTGGCGCAAATTCGCTCCCGTATTTCGGCGTTGTGTGGATTATTCATGTAGTTTCTTGTTAGTGGCAACGCCGATATATGTAAATTAACATAATTTTGTAAACAATTTCAAAAAATCGACATAATTTCGAAAACAAAACAAACAATCGACAGAATTTCGAAAACAATTTCGATTCTAATAAGCTACGGCGATCGTTTTTTTTTTAGTGTCATTAGCGTAATCCTGAAAACAAATTTTCCTCGTGTTTTCATTTTGCACCCGGGGTACCGGGGTTCGCAATTTGCTTCATTAAAAAAAATGAAGCGCTATGTCCGTAGTGCAAAATAATATTTTGGCCGATTTCAGTTTACATGGGTATCTTCCCCCATTGTGTGTTATGTACGTACATAGCTTGCATAATTAAAAACGCGATCTCGACCAATCAGAAACGATGCAATTGAAAGACTAGTATCTGTATTGCATACTGGGCGATGGGTGAACAATCGGTTGGTGATACAATATGGACGACAACACGTGATCTTTAGTCTTGTTATTTGATACCGCATATTGATAGATACATTGAACTAGATTTTATCACGAACTGAAAACTCCATCTTGTATATCCCACATTTGAGTTATCCTTCGATGACAAAAAATTGAATGCTATACTCTAATACACATGCGCAATGGTTGTTTTGGTACGTACAATTATAACACTGCACATGCGTATTAGTGGTTTCGTTTTTTTTTTTTTTTTCATCTGTCGAATACTGTTTTGCGCCCAGCAAACGCACCATTATTTGGTTATTATGCACAATATCCTATTTGGTCTACAGTATGGATTATCTAACAGCGATAATAAAAAAGAAATATGTTTTCGCCAGGTTTGCATCTTTAAATACCCCAAGTCCGAGAAAGCACGGACGGGTATAGCTTTTACACAAAGTAATTGTATCACAAATAACATAGAGCAGTGTAAGCGCGTTTTTCATTTTAATATGAAATATATATATATATTAATTTAAGCTAAACAAATTCCCGCTCCCGGTAAAATAATAACATCGCGTAAATCTAATGGTAATATATATAAAATATATTTATTTATTTTTTTCAACAAATCTCGTCCCGACATTATATAACAGCACACTCCTTATGAAAATGAATTTAACTACTTGTTGTCAGTGGTCTGCGTGCTCTGCATAAGTACAGTTTGTATTGTTAAATTGTGGTAGTCGTCGCGCCACGCATGGGCGAGATATATGGGTCTCATATCAACAAAGATGGCGACTTTGACTGTTGAGCAGATCAACGAGTA